AGATGCTTTTAATCTTACCATCGCATAAGAAAAAAAGGCTAGGCTCTGGGTCCGCGGCTGAGTCAGAAACGCAAGTTTCCCAGTTCAAGGGGGAGGCGAGCCTGACAAGGAGGAGCTGCCGGTGGAAAAGGAAACTGCTGCTCAAAAACCCCAGGAAGGAGAGTTGAACTCTGTGTGTATAATTAAAATTATACCACTTCGAATATAATTACAGAAACAAATTGCACATGAATCCTTTGTGTCCAATTATGATATTTAATGCAGCAAATTAAAATTACTGCTCATTTTCATCCATGTGTCACACGGGAACCCCCAGAGGTATTCTTAAGGGCCCATTTTTATAGTTGCAGAGAAATAATTAAAGATACTGTAATTAACTTCCCCATGACTCAAAAACTCTGAATAATGGGAGCACCAGCTGATAGATGAGACAGAGCCTACTATCCTGTCTTTAAAAATACTGCCAATTCAAAATATTCTGATAATTAGTGGTAAATGAAAGTGCTTAGGAAGAAAATTTCTGGAACCATCGTGGGCAAAATTAAGTACGACTCAGAAATTGTTAAACTTTTGTTCATAGCTTTATTTGAAGGATGTTCATGACTCAAAGAGGCTAATTCCTAGTGATGCAGTAGATATATAAAGTACTTATGCAGAATTTAAAGCAACAGTACCTAGTTCCATAACCTGGAATCTTAGAGAACCAAGTGTTGCCTATATGTCCGCGCCGCTCGTTAAGATGAAAACATACTAATGGAATCAGAAACTGCAATAATTGGCAAGACCTTGGAGACCCTTTTTCCCGACTCTCTTTCAAAGTAGGTATCATTTTTATGGCATTCCTATAATTCTCTTTGGTGAAAAAAAGTCTGGTGACATACTAAATTTTGAACCAGACTGAATTATATTGCCTTGCTTTTATCAAAATGACGGTTAAATTTTTAAATTTGATTTTTCTCAGAGACAATATGCTGAAGTCTAGGTTTTGTTTATAGTCAAATTTTCCAGTCAAATCAATAGGGTAAAGGAATATACTGGTTGTAAACCAGCCTCATCATTCAATGTGCATATTGTCTTAGGAAGGAGTTGGAGGCCATAGGTTGACAATGTTATCAAATAGGGTTATGAGGAAACAGCATCTGAATTCTGCTTTAGCTCTGTTACTCATCTGCTGAGGCACTTTGAGTATCAGTTGGCACTGTTTAAGCCTCATTTTTTTCCTCCTTAAAGAACACAGTGAAGCTTGCTTGGTGACTAATGCTTACATTTGGTTGGTATTTTATTGTTATTTTTAATGGTGCCTGTTGAGACAAAATTTACATGTTTTTAATATCAAATGGTAATATCAGTCTTATAATTCTTATAGGTATACAGTTTATAGTGTGTTGTTGCAGGGTAAAATATCTACAAGAGGTCTCTGAGATGCAAAGCCACAAATGTGGGATGAGCTGCCTTAGGAGGAAATAAACTCCCCCTGAGGGAGCCTGAGGGACTGAGCAGCCAAACTTAAAGTAGAGGCTCAAAGATTAGGCTCATGATCGAATGTATCCATGCATAAGATTGCTAGCAGGCTTGGGGGGCAGTGGCAGTACCTTTGAACATTGCAGAATGTTGTACAAACTGAAAGATAATTGTTAAGAAAGACCAAGATTAAAATGTAATCTTCTATGAAAAGAGTGCTCACAGAAATTCTGAAAAAAGAGTTTATCCTTTTGTAATCCTGTGGAAAACATTTTAACTGCTGGGTTTGGGAAATGTAGCTGCATCTCCTGCTATGCATTACTTAGCAGAGTTCATTTAAGAGCATGAACACAACCATTTCAATGCTTCCTTCCTTACGTGCCATATGCCTTCTCACATGCTCTTCATTTTTATTTGTTCAGCAACTTTTGGACATTTCAGTCCTTTAGAGACAAGTGAGTGACAGTCAGACCTCCCTACAGTCATCTTTGAAGATATAACCTTAGTCAAGCTATCCTAATCAAACTATTTCACAAAGAGTAAATAACAAAATCATTAACTTGATGCTACAATTCAAATAAAGCATACATTATTTCTTTAAAATCTGGGGAAATAAATAAAAATTTTGGAAGAGATATTTTTTCAAAACAAGGATATAACAGGATATACATGTTACAAATCACAGGTGGAGCTCAGTCTCTTTACTTTACAGCGATATTTCATACAAAGTTGGTGCTTGAGGGGGTGAATGGCAGTCTGTGCTAGACTGTGTGGGTCCAGCCCATAAGGGAACCACTTATTTGACTTGGTTGGTGGGTAGGAAAGAGGAGAAATCAAAGGCAGATAGTCCAGCTCTTTTGAAATATCTGTCACAAAGCCAGCATGTAGCAAACGTCTACTCTGCCAGGCACTGTGCCAGGCACTTTACATGTATTATCTTATTTGGTCCTTCCTATAACAATTATTATTTTCATACTGAAAAAAAATTGTCAGTGAAAGAGAGAATTGACAGTTTGTACTCCAGGAAGCAGTAGTAAGATTGTTGAGTGGAATTACTGAGGGCTATCATTTTATGCCCCATAAAAATCCAGGGGTGGCCTGGATGCACCATCTCTCCCCCCACAGCTCTCCTGCCCTAGGCTGCTGGTTTGGGTGCCTAGATCACTGCTCCCTCTTTGTGCTCTTTTACTTGAAGCACTGTCCTCCATCAGTGACCAATGACTCCAGCAAAGAGGAGGACTGGTCAGTCAAAAACATCCGGTGGCATTTGTCTCTTGCTTGATGTCCAGTTTAACCCACCGTCAGTAGAAAGTTTGAAAAATATACTTTTCCCAACAGGGAACTTCCTTGTGACATAAATAATCTGTCTCCAGCAATGTCACCACAGGCTGAACTGTGACATAGGATGGAAAGTGGGATGAGAAAACTTTTCCCTCCCTTACCTCCATCTCAGTATTTCTTGATTATAATTAGCTGAAAAGCTAGCAGGCTTAGTTATTTAGAAGTACCTCACTGGCCTCTTGGAAGAAGCCTAGTTACTTCCTGAGATGGCTTTAGCTTGGTTCAAGCCTAATCATTTGCTAAGCCAAAGTGGCTCAGAAAAAATGGAAATCACAACTAGGAAATATTTTCATACAGCCTAACCGAAACATATTAGAAAGGAATAGATCTTGTGCTATACAAATCACACTTGAAAAGCACAGTGAGTAGATTGCATATCTACTTTCAAGGCTTTTATTATTATTATTTTTTGTTTTAGTTTTCAGTTAAAGTCACACATAACATTTCATTTTTATAGTGATTTAGATGAAATAATCAACCACTTATTGAGTATATATTTGGTGAGCCTGACAATAAAAATGCAGATGTAGAAATAAAGGAATTTGGCTTGTGAGGGCAGCAATAGAGAGCTGGTGGAATGTTGGCCTGTTCGGAACCATCCAAGCTTTGACTCAGGTATTGAGCTGAATGGAACCAATTCCAAGAGCAGCAGTTTTCATGAGAAACAGGAAAGAACTGTGGAATTTAACTCTTTAGTCATAAGCTGATGAGCTAAATACACTGGGCCTGAGGTACAGAGCCACGGATTTAGAGTCAAGTAGAGATCAAGGAAAAAGCTGATCAGAAGGGTAAGATATTCCAGAATTTGCTGCAACATAATGAATCCTTCCTTACATGTATGTGGTGCCCAGGAAATTTGTTGGATGAATGAATGGATGTGTGGAGAATGACGGCCTGAGAGATTTGCCTTTTGAGGTCTTGGTCATGATAATAGGGTGCCTTGTCGAGGATTCAGGAATTACAGGGAGCCGAGCAAGCCTCCCAGTGATAGGTCTGATTCCCGTACATAGATGTGTAAACATGCACAGACAAGAACCGCAGTGGAGGACTGTTTGAAAACTGGGCACCGGGAAAGTTCATGGAAAGGGGCAGAGGCTGGGGGAGATTTGAAAGCATGATGTGGGGAAGAACATCCCAAGGTTCAGGGGAAATAAGGAGTAAAACTATGGCAGTAGGCAAATAAGGCACAAAAAAAAAAAAAAAAAAAAAAAAAA